TTTTTTTTTCTTAATGTTTACTTGTTTTTGAGAGACAGAGTAGGAGTGGAGGACGGGTAGAGAGCCAGAGACACAGAATCCGAAGCAGGCTCCAGGCTCCCAGCTGTCAGCACAGAGCCTGACATGGGGCTGGAACCCACAAGCCATGAGAACATGACCTGAGCTTAAGTGGGATCCCTAACCGAGCCACCCAGGTACCGTGAAAATTCAACTTCTTGCCTCGACTTTGCTTTTAATTTTAAGGTCTTTGTGAACTCTAGAAACTTTAGCTGTGTTTTCTCCTATTAGGAAGTTCTTTCCATCCTACAACAAACCCATTGATAATGGGTGAGCACACCGAAGTTGTGGGACAAGTTCAAAAGAGCTGTAAAAGCAAGGAGGAAGAATTCTGGTGGCCGAGGTGCAAAACTAGTGAGGCTGGAAGTGAAGCTGGGAGACTCTATCAATTACCTATTACTGCATAACAAACTGCCCCAAAACTTAGTGGCTAAAAGTAACAATCACTTACTTTGGCCATAAATCTGCATTTTGGGCAGGACTCCGATCAGCTCATCTCTGTTCCATGTGGTATCAGATGGAACTGCTCCACTAGGGGCTGGAGGATCCACTTTCAAAATGGCTCCCCAAGAAGCCTGGCAAGACGGTGTTGGCTATCAGCTGAAAGCTCAGCTAGGGCCCGTTCCACTTCACAAGCCCTTCAGTTTGCTCTTAAGTTGATGGCTGAGCTCTAAGAGTGAAGGGCCACTCAGTCAGGCCAGGTATGTGGAAACCAGTTGAGCAGATGTATGGACAAAGCCAGGTAGAGCTTGGCAAGAACTCGTGGAAGCTGAAAGTCAGAATGAGGCCACATGTTAGTAATCTGGTTGGGAGGATCAGAAGCCTAGCAAGTGAAGCGGCCGAAGCAGATAATACAATTAGAACCAAGAAACACGCATAAGAAAATAAGGCAATGACAGAGAGGAAGGCAGAAGCAGGAGTCCAGATCTAAGAAATACGGAGAAAACAGAATGAAGCAAGGGAAGGAAGCAGGAAAACAGGTAAGACTTCAACCCCAAGGCAGGGTGTGTGATGCCTGCACCTCACTGCATGCACATAGCTGGGCTGCTGTGAGATCTCAAGGAACCTCAACGGTGCATCACCAAGATGGGTCTACAATCAATGCGGTGGCCATAATGTCAACATTTACGCAGACAAACACACTAAACACATGATCTGCGGTTACATCAACTCAGGTTTTATTGAAGTTGCTTCTGAATATCCCTATTTAATTTGCTTTAGTGTTCAAGACCCTTTCTTCACTTATCAAATCCTTTGCCATGAAAGAGCACCAATTAATTTATCAGTATCAAACTGATTCCCTTATGGCCGAGAAGACAATCTGTACAAGATTTGTAGACTGTTAGACTGTACGTACTAAAACACCAAGATCCCCTCTTCAAGTGAGCCAAAGCTTCCTTACACAACTGCAGGCCTACAATGTCTTTTCGCTTTCCCGTCAAGATGAAAATAATAAGAGCACTGACACAATTTTCTTGCTCCTTCAGTCTGAAAGTGTGGATTTATGTTTAAAAAAAAAACAACAACAACAGAAAAAAATGAAGCTGGCAGGACAACAAGTCACTGTGATTGATTAAACTACAATTTTTTATAGAAAAGCATCACTTAACCAGCCTTCCCTTTTCCTTAGACCTTAGGGCAGCTATAAAAACAGAGGCAAAACCACATATATAATAAAAAGTAATAAAAATAAATATTTGAGGGCCTACTGTAGTAGACAGTTTACACATTTCATCCAATCCTCACAGTACTGCGAGAGAATTGTAATCATTGTACAAACGAGGAAGCAGGCTCTGGAGGGTGAGATGACTGGGGCCCAAGGTGACAGACTGGGCTGGGATTTACATTCAAGCCAATGCCTACAGAGCCCCTGCTCTCTTATGCTGCTCTGGCTCCCAAAAGCCCAACTTTTTGAGATTCTTACTGTTATAGCCCCATCTTCTAAATTTACACTTTTAAGTCTGCGTAACTACTGAATAACAAAAAAAATCTAAAATTCTCCTCAATCTACTTGCTAAAACGGGAGGTTGCAAGGAATATTAGAAAACTCTTGAAGTACTTGGAACATGCCATACCTAAATTTATGGTGGTTCTAAATCACTGATTAATGACAGCTCGTAACTCATGGAAGCCTAGGTAATTGTCATCGGCTCCTTTTCTTGTCACCATCGGTCAATCTCAAAGGAATGAAGGCAAAAAAAATCCAGTTCTTATTGTGAACTCTGATGCTCATTAAGTTTATAGTACGTACTTAGTGGAAAGCAGAAAGCGGTTCTGGTTTTAAAAATCTTACACCAGTCTTTTGTTTGCTTCTTAAAAGCATGTACTTGCTTTTTATTTATTTTTTTTTAAGTGTCTAATTCTGGTGGAGATGGCAGGGCCCATTGGGGGATGGTTTTATGGATATGTGCGGAGTGTGCTAGAACCATCTATGATGTCTAAGAGGATAACTTTTACCACTCCACGGAATGGGGTCATAAAGTTCTAGAAATGGATTTACTTTATGGGTAACCGACGTAAAAACCTGAACCCATGCAATCTGGACCTCCAACGACATTTGTTTGCTGGGGACACACTTGCACGTTCATTACAGAACTGTTGAAGCTTAAATGATTAAAGTTAGTATCTAGTTATTCCTTATTCAAGTCCTCACAGAAATTCAGTTTACTGGTTTTAGACATTTTTGAGTCCAGTTCTTAAAAGATGTCTTCATTCTTAAGAAGCTGAAAGGGTGAGATGAGATCATCATTAAGGCCTCTTCGAACATTACAAATCCATAACTGACCTCCTTTCTAAAGTCTGATTCATAGGTCATTCATTCACTTATTTACTGACCAAATCTGTTACAGAGCACCAGGTATAAGTAAGACTAGAAAAAACAAACAAACAAAACCACACAGTCTCACTAACTCCAGCTAGATATTAATACATGTGACATAAGACAAACAAAAACTAGAAAACAAAGTTTATCAGTGTGAGAGAGGTAGTGATTTGTGAGTACCCAAAAAAAAAAAAAAAAAAAAAAAAAAAAAAAAAAAAAAAAAAAAAAAAAATCAGCATAACTAAATGAAATGAGAAATTGTAGGAACCTATTTTTGTCCTGACCACCTCCCTGCATAATCTAATAAAGGATGATAAAGCAAATTTGACGAAGTGGAAGATTTAAGGGCTAGTGGAGAGAAAAGCTGTAGGTAAATTACTTATACAGACCAACTTGGATCATTGGCTATGGGTGCTGCTTCAGTTACCCTGAAATGATTATATACCCAGGGAGGCTGAAAATTTGAAGGTAACTCAGCAAAGACAGCACAACGTTTCTTGGTCATACTTGCTTGAAAGGGACCTCGTATCTTGAATTTCTTGATACTCCTTGCCTTCCAAGTCTTGCCTTGGCCTTAATTAGCCCTTATAAACGGGAACTGGAAAGGGACAATGAGTGTGAATACGGCCCACCTGGTGGGGACTACAAGGACAAAAGGTGGCTAAAAGAAAAATAACAAGGGGAAGTCCTAAAAAAAAAAAAATCTATGTGTATAAAAATCAACCCAAACGATCTAAATTCATGTAACTCTATACAGCTTTAGCATCTAAGTACCCAGACGTTGAATCAATCCCTACCATCTCCTCTTCCCACGAAATAACAGATCCTATATAATTCCTGTTACAGAGACCATTAGAAAGAAACATTTAGCTGAAAATACATAAACATATCCTCGTTTCCATCTTTTAAAAAGATTTTCAATTGATAGTCATCAGAGTACCAATTTTAAAATAATTTTCTTAAACAGATTTGGACAAAGGCCACAGGATCACTTGTCACATTGTTCAAATGCCCAATGGCAAGACTTGTGATGAGACCACATAGGTCACATTAAATCCGTAGAGTATTTTAGAAATAAAGCCAATATGACTAAATCCAAAACAGATCACATGAAGTACCTCATGTACAATACAAACCTAGTTTAATAAATAAAGGAAACACAGGTGACTGTACTCTGGGAGAACATCCAGTTCCTCACGGTCCTTTCATAGTCTTCTCTGAGACTCCACGGCCACTTCCACCTGGGCAAGTCTAATGGTGCGGCCATGAAGCTTGTAGCCATCTTGCCTTACTAATGCCACGGTGCCGGGCTGTACCCCAACGCCAGCGGGCACGTGACAGATGAGTTCATGCTCATGAGGGTCATATTTGTCACCGATGGGTGTCATCTTCTCTAGGCCATGTTTGGCAAACACACTTTTCAGCTTTGCTTCTAAAAGTGATAACCCTCGGAAGATCTTCTCCAGAGTGAGCTTCTGGTCCCCAGGCTCTGTTTCTTCAGAAATGTACTCTGTAGTCTTCTCCAAAATGTCTGCCACCTCTACCAAGTCCTTACAGAAACTCTGAATTCCTAGAGAAACCACACACTGTTATTGTTTGTGAGGAAATCACTTTGCTTTTGGGGGTGGGGTATGGGGAAGGCCCACATAAGGGCTAGCCTACTGGGCACCCCAGAAGTAGGAAGATTGCCACACAGGACTCAGGGATCAACAATTACCACCTGAACCCAACTGACAAACCAGTTTTTCTCTGGGAAGGCATATGACCGGGAAGCCTACCAGGAAATGGGGAAGATGGTTAGAATCTAAGACCTAGGTAAGACTACACACGGGAAGATCAGAAACCTGTCTTTTAAAAACCTGGTCAATGCTTCTTGTATTTTTGTTGCTATTCACCTTTAATATTGAGTTATGTACATTTTGAAAATTCTCACGTCTCAATTTTGCTGAGGCATGCACTCTCAATAGGGATAAGACATGAGTATGCCATGGGGCAGGGGGCAATAATACAAAAATTATTTGGTAAGACCATGCTAAGGGAGATTCAAGAATGGTTGCTGAGAATCGGCTAAAGAGGAGCAGGAAAGTAAGATACTCCGTAGGTGAGGTGAGTCTTCAACTGCCTGCTGCGAAGTTACGTACACTTGCTGGAGATGGGCCATGAAACTTGCTTAACCTTTTCAGTCACAAAAACTGTTCTGAAACTAAATTCAGTTGTTGAGAAATCTCATTACTCCCAATGCCGCATCTTGATTTTTCTTACAGAAATGATAAGGAATGTCATCATTACAGGTATCTATCATAACAGCAAAGCAATGGTAAGGGTGAAAGACTCCGTTCTGGTTTTAATCCAGGGGCAGTTTTAAGGCCATGTGTCGTAACAGATAGCCAGTTTAACCGTACTCAGAGATAAAAAGGAAGCTCAGCCACAGGGAAGCAATAAAAGAGATGACAGAGAAGAGATTCCCCAGACTTACTGCCTAGATTCTAGAAGAATAACTGACAGAGGTAAGGATTCTATCTTTAACTTCTGGGTGACAGAGATTCACTATAGTATCTTGAGCAAAACAAGTATAAAATGATTCAAATTAGTCTAATAATAACATACAAAATGGATCTGGGGTGCTGGGGGCATGACAGATGGGCAGGAAGAGAAGATACAAGAAATAGGAGAGCCACGTGAAGGAATCAGCTGGTGTGACCCGGTCTGGAGTAGGAGGAGGTGAAGGAGAGGAAAAGGGTAAAACCAGGAGGCATTTCCAGGGTACCAGACTCGGTGTGATCAGAGTACCACAAGATACTTCCCTCACCTCCATCAGGGATGGCAGCCGTAAATATTAATGGCTATTAATGAAATCAGTTGAAAAGGTAGAAGAGATTAGCCGAAGGCCTGAAAAGTATGCCGATTAGATCAGAACACCAATGAGAAAAGAATGTCTCATAAACATCAACCAGGGGTATCCAAAGCATGCCCTGACTATTAAAAGAAGACATACACTCTAATAGAATTTTGAAAGCTCTAAGCTTCTGGGCTGACTGTACATTGACATGGTACAAAGAACCCCGGCTTCTGTTCAATCAAGTTGTAAGCATTTGGGAAAATAGAAGCCCAGGTTCTCTTGTTTATATAGTGTGGGGTCCACACTCCGATTCTATTCTCATTATTGTTACTTCAAAAGGAAGTTGGTGTCTACATCATTTCTTGCGGGTGGGGGAGAATCTTTATGATCTGTTAAGAGAAGGTGAGTTATTGAGGCAAAGCAATCCCTGGAAGGAGTCATCATGCTGTGTTCCATACTAAAAGCTTTCTACTGTGTTTCTACCTCCAGACTTCCTGAGCAATCTTCAATTTTTCTAATATTCCTGGCCCCTAGGAGGAAATGATCCAGGCAAATGACTTATGTGGCAGGCATATTGCTAGACACATTTTGCGCCATAAATTAATAGATTACCAAACTATTTTATGGTTTAGCTAAATATTTGCTTGTTCCTAGGAACCTTATCAAGTCTTGAGGAAACTGATGGAAGTCCGTTCCAAACTCATCACAGCCTGACTTCTGATAAGACAACTTACCCTGCACCCCTCAAGCAGGCTAGAAGTCTTCCCCAGGTACCACAGTTGGTTTATTTGCTACAGAAATTCCTTGTAGCTCAAAGTCAGCAAACTTTTCCTATTAAGGGCCATATATAAATATTTTAGGCTTTGTGGGACAAGACGGAAAAAACCCAAGGATCTTATGTAGGTGATCATTTAACAAGAGACAATAAATTCCCCCAATTTTTAACAATGAAATTCAGAACTATATTTATTGACTAACAGGTCGCAGGCTTGGCCTGTAGGCTGTAGTTTGCTAAGCCCTGCCCTGACAGTTGGAAGTAAGACACTAAAACGTGGATGAAATTATCAGTGATACAATCTGGGGGTCAGTCCTTAGCTAATACTCAAAGCCTTGAAACGTGATGTCCATAGCACTGAATGAGAAGCAGAAGGCTATGCCAAAGCACTAGGGTTTGAATAGGGGAATGAATGGACAGGACAGGAATGAAGCGAATCCTATGCACAAACAGCAGATAAATGAAGAGAACAGGAGGTAATGTGATACAGGGGAATGAATAATAGACTGGCGGTCAGGAGACAATGGACTCATGCCTCTATCTGTCACCAATTAATTTTTTTCAGCTCACCTATAAGAGAAGATTGTACTAGAAAGGACCCAAGGGCCCCTCAAGCACCTTCATTCTATGTGCAGTGAAAGTACAATGGTCTGTATGAAATTGTGAGCATCTCAAGTAATCACAGATTTGCCCTCTACTAACACTTTCATGAACATATCTGGAACAAGATGTTGTGTGTTCAGAGAAATACTTCTGAAAGACTTTATTTTTTATATTTTTTAAATGTGCAGCCTTCATATGGATATATTTTTAAGATTTTATTTTTAAATAATCTCTGTACCCAATGTGGGGCTCGAGCTTACAACCCCAAAATTAAAAGCTGCATGCTACACTGACTGAGCCAGCCAGGTGCCTCTGACTTAAGAAAAAAAAAATTTTTTTAATGTTTGTTTATTTTTGAGAGACAGACAGAGGAGTGGGGGAGGGGCAGAGACAGAAGGAGACACAGAATCCAAAGCAGGCTCCAGGCTCTGAGCTGTCAGCACAGAGCCCGATGTGAGGCTCGAACCCACAAACAGTGAGATCATGACCTGAGATCATGACCTGAGCTGAAGTCAGATGCTTTACTGACTGAGCCACCCAGGAGCCCCAAGAAAGACTTTAAATTGGACCAAAAAACCTTTTTCAGTCATCAATGAAAAAACAGATGTAATCTAGCATAACTTCCAGGGTTAATCTGCTTCCATACGTCTTTGAGCTATTTTATAACTTAGTAAGTTGTAAATACTAATGGTAAGGCAAATGGTTATTGCCCATAGTAGTGAAAATTGGTGGAGATACAGTTGATTACTGCTCTATGGATCTAGAGTAATTTTGCTTCTACCAAGAAAATTTTAATATGCCTGATTACTCATGCATCTTGCTCTCTGGATTCTCCTCTGAACATCTTAATGATTCACTTCATTAACGAGTCAAACAGAATTGAATGTAGAAGGCCCAGGATGTTACGCGTACGTGCTTGAAAAATAAAATAACAAAGGTTTTGGTTAAAACGAAAGCAAGCATTATTGTAGCAAATGGTTCACGTGGCAACATTCCCAATAAACATTTCAGAAAGCATATGGCAAGGGTACAAGAGCAGGGTAGGGACTGGTTTAGGATGCAGCTGTGTTGTTTACTATGTTCAGTTTGCAAAACTGCTAGTAAGCATCCTTAAACTAAAAGGCATTTGAATTTTTATCGTGAATAAATCTCTCACCAAATATCTTGGCATCTTCTACACATCTCTGGGTTCGCCGCCTTATGTTTTCACCATCAGCTACAGCTCTCTGGTATCTCATCTGAACACCAAAAGCAAAGTGAAAATGATCAGAAAACATGCTTGCTGGTGGAAAAGAGTGTTTTTGCTACCTTTACAACCTTCACCCTTGTGACTGATTTTTATTAAAAAAAATGAGGAACTGTAGGAATCTTAGATCAACTACTCCAAATCCCCAGCCAAGGCAGGAAGCTACTCTCTTGTGTTTGTGTTTATTTCTTTATTTTGAGAGAGAGAGACAGAGAGACAGAATCCTAAGCAGGCTCCGTGCTATCAGTGTAGAGCCTGACTCGGGGCTCAATCCCACGAACCGTGAGATCATGACCCGAGCCAAAATAAGTCAGACACGCAACCAACTGAGGCAACCAGGCGCCCCAGGAACCTACTCTTTATAGCAGCCTTGACAGACTGTCATTTAGCCTCCTACTCTGAACACTTGCTTTTCAAGCTCATTATCTTGAGAGAAAGCTTCCCTTTTCACACTCAGCCGATACGGCCACCCTCTTTCATTCACTGAACTGAACTCTAGGACAACAGTATGGTATGTTTAGCTCCTTTAATCTCTTCCTCTTTCATTCTTACAATCTTTGATTCCTTTAATTGCTCTCCTAAGACATGCTTTCCTACATCCTCACTATTCTGGGTGGTCTTGCTTTGGAACTACTCTGATTATCACCCTCAAAGTGTGTTTGTCAACCCAGTACCGGGTGAGTATACCGGATGCAGTCTGATCGGCAGAGTAAAATGATAAGCGACGTCATTCATTCAACAAGTATCTATTGAGTTTTACTACACGCCAGGCACTGTACCTCCTCTGAAGCTACCACAACATTAGGTATCTAAGTACTGTGACACAACAGGTTTTTAAATGACTATAGACTATGTTGCCTAACACACCTAGCAAGAGGGTGGAGGTGGGGTGAGAGGTAAAGAGCCAATCAGAGGAAATTTAATTGAAAAAACTGACATGAAAACTTTATGCAGATATTAAACCAGAGAGAGGATGTGAAGAACAGATAAAATCTACTCACTGTTAAGTCCTGGACTTCTTTCTCCAGTTTCACAGCTTTAAGCTTTAAGGCTCGTTCTGCAAGAGAGGGCCCAAGGTCATCGGGAGGGTCCTCAGAACTGCAGTCCTCTCCAGCAGTTCTCTGGGTGGCGGTGCTGAAAGGATGCAGCCATCCCCTAAAGGGGGAGGGAGGTGGCACATGATGAAAAAATGCTATCACAAAAAGCCAAAGTGCCCTCAGTCCCTCTGTGATCGCTTATAAAGGGCTAACTAAGGGGCGCCTGGGTGGCTCAGTTGGTTGAGCATCTGACTTTGGCTCAGGTCATGATCTCATGGTTTGTGGGTTCGAGCCCTGCATCGGGCTCTGTGCTGACAGCTTGGAGCCTGGAGCCTGCTTTGGATTCTGTGTCTCCCTCTCTCTCTGCCTCTCTGCCCCTTCCCCCCACCCCCCCAACTCGGTCTCTCTCTCAAAAATAAAGAAACATTAAAATAAATAAATAAAGGGCTTACTAAGTCGGGTTTTATTTTCCTCTCACAGAGTGTGAGAGAAATAGTATTATCACCTCAACTGTATAAATAAGAAAACTGAGGCTCAGAGAGGCTTATGACTTGCTTAAGATCACACAGCTAGTATTCAGCTGAACCACGGTACTGAACACAAGGCAGCAGAAATAGCCAGAAGTGGGGACACAAAACTCAGCAAGAGGAAACCAAGTTCTATACCCAGAACCAGCAGGGCAGTATCAGAAGCAGGAATTCAAAACACAAAGCCATACATTTCTGATTCAATCCTTCATTTCACAAATGGGGAAAATTAAGCCTAGTAAAGGGACTGTGTCAAACTGGAGTTAGGCCTAGAATTCTAAAGCTTTCTTGACCACAAGTGCTTAAGTAGGGCTTTTATGGAAGAAAACCTGTGTTAGGGGAAATTCTGAGTTGGGAACCCACTTCTCTGTAAAATCACGTCAATTAAATACTTATAAAACACTATACATTCCAGCGGGTGCACTAAAAACAGGTGAATAAAACAGATCTTTGTATTCAATCATGTTTGTAATCTGGAATGTGGTACAGCTCAAATGTCTGACATACAGTTGTTTACAAAGAAAGACATTTAGAGCAGGGGCTACTTTATAAATCTTGGATTGTAGCAGTTCTGACTCCTCCTTCAAGGAAGTTTCCATTACACCTCCTGGATGCTCATAATTTGACTTGAAGTAAAATCATCAATAAAAACCAACCCATGAGCACAGAGGTCTTTAAAACAAACAGTTTACATATATAAACTGGCATATAATGAAGGGCAGTCACTGGGGTGACATCCACGCAAAGATTTAAAGGGGGAAAAGGAGTCTGCGTCAAGAAAGGGAGAGGGAACATTCAGTATAAAGCTATGGGCAAGATGACTTCTATGTTCCAGACTTTTCCTTCCAGGCCAGGACTGAGCTCTGCTATTACAATCTGGTGTCAGATTATATATGGTTTCTCCATTTTTGGTTCAGAAAATATGATCACCATAGATCTGGGGCAAATCACACAGGGTGAAATACCTCCTTTCTCCTAACCCCCTAACAAACCTACATTTATCCAATTGAAATTAGGTCAAAATACTCCCAGGGCCAGTTTAAAGAGAAAATGGCCAAAAAAAAAAAAAAAAAAAAAAAAAAAAAAAAAAAAAAAGCCGGAAACCTTGAATTCAACCTCACACCCGGGTGCTAGGGCAGGGTGCTAGCTAGGTCAGGTGTGTTAAGATAAAAAGGTGACAAATAGTTATGTGAAATTCCCGGAGACGCCGCGGCTTAATTTACACTTCAGGAAGTCCAACCTTACCCATCCCCCAACTCACTCTTTTTTATTCTTTCTCAGGAAGAAACAGTTAAACACGGAATCGTTCCTGAGAATTAACGCTGCTCACTAATTAAAAGAGCAGATTCTAGAGCCCTGAATCTGGGGCTGGGTTCCACAATTACGGAGTGTTTGAGTTTGGATAAGTTACTCAACTTTTCTAAACCTCAGTTTTCTCGATTGAACGGGAGAATAAAAAGAACTACCCATAGAGTTCTACAATCAGCATGACAAGTGATCGATAAAAGGTGCCGCAGCCGATGGTGAAAAGCAGCAGCAAATGCAACTTCATAGACTCTGGGGAGCAGGTGGAAGGGCCGTTTGGAGAGGCCAAGTCCAACGCCCTCCTTTTACCGACAGGTAAAGTGTAGCCGGGATAATAGGGAAGGGACTGGCCCAGAGGCACACAGGGAGTCAACGGGGAGAATTCCAATTTAACAGCGGACACTCTAGCTGGGGAGGTTGGGAGTAAAGTCCGGGAAAGGTACATCCCCAATTCAATCGACGCTTGGGGCTGAAGAGTTTCCACCTCCGAGGAACGTGACCTCCGCTCTTCCCACCTTCTTTGGCCTGGCAAGAAGGCGCGACTGTGTGCCTCAGTTTCCTTCTCTGTAGAATGGGGCCGTGAGCGCCCGATCGGAGCAGCCGAGAAGCTTGGTGGATCAGCTCGCGCCCTTCCAGCCCACAACCGTCCTTCCAGCTCGCTCGTCTCGCACTACCCTCAACCCTCCACTCGCGGCCTGCTTCGCTTACCTGCCTTCGGACGCGGCACTCGGGGCCAGGAGGCGCTGCACCAGCCGCCGGACCGCCCACACTGACCGCGCGGCCATATTCCCGAACCCGGCTGACGGAGGCAGCGCAAGCGCACTTGCTCCAAATGACGAGATGCGCTAGATGCCACTCTTCCCGGCAGCCTTCGCGGGCTCTCCCGGCCCAGGGTCCGGGTCGCGAACGCCACACTTCCGGCTGTCTTTGTGCGCCGTGCTCGTGTCCATCCGGTGTCCCGGACAGAAGGCGACACTTCCGGTCCCCCGCGCGTGGGGCGCGTAGGGTGGGTTCCTGTTGTAGGACTCAAGCTCTGTGTTCGTCGAGAAATCCGCCGGAAACACGGGGGATCTCAGCTGTACCCTCAAGGGGCTTACGTAAAGTTGTAAACAATAAACGAAGGCAAACGCATTAAGTCAAAATATGACCGGTGTTTAAAGGTGAGAGGCGTGGTGTCACGGAAGCCTGGAACATGATGTGGCCGAGTGTGGGCAGTTGCCCCCAGAGGGAAAAATAGTTGAATTGAAAACTGAAGGATGCGTAGATGCAAAGAGGAGGAAGGTGGTTCAGGTAGAGGTAAACAGCTTTTGCAAAGACCCAGTCAATAGGGAGAGTACATTGCGAGTAACGCGCTGAAATATTGGAGGGAAGAGGGGCAACACAACACAATTAGCGGAACAGATCACGCGAGGGATTTAAAAAATTGGAGCCCGACTCCCGCATCAGTCTTACTGCTTTCTCCCCTTCCAATTCCCTTGTTTTCTGACTTTATTATGTTTTTAAAATGCGTTTTCTCATTTCCCTTCGCTAGAATGTGAGCTCCGTTAGGGCAGAGATTATCTTGTCTATTTCCAATGAACGGTGGAACAGTGTCCTGGTGTAGTTCAAAATTTTTTTTGTTGAATGTGAACTTGAGTCTTACTCTGATTGCAGTGGGAACATGTTACAAAACCTTTACGTGTGTAACGGGTGGCCTTGACTCCCGTATGACAGATGGCTGGATCTAAGCAGAGAAGTAGGGAGACAAGCTGTTGGACTAGTCCATTCAAGGGAGGGCTGTATTTTGTCCTGGGGACTCCTTAATAGACCTTTGTAACCACCCTATCTGAAGTAGCTACTCTTTTAGGTGTGTTGGGCATGTTTTTGTTTCCATATTAGTATTTCATTGGTTTTCTTTCTGTTCTCCCAACTAGCGTTTGAGCTTCATGAGGGTCCACAGCTGTGATTTCTGACATCTGTCTAGTACAGTAGGTGTACATGGTAGGTTCATACCAGATGTTTGTTGAATGAATGAATTGTTGGTGTCAGTGGAGATAGGAAGAAGTGGAAGAATTTGAGAGAGATTTAATATGGAAAACTGACAAGATAGACTGGTGATTGGGGTTGAGGGCACTTGGAGTTGCCAGACTAGTTACTGCACAGTCCCCAAGGTAAAAACAACAACAACAACATTATTTAAGGAATGGAAGGTGTGTCCTCATTATTCTAAGTCTTCACCATAACATGGTTTACTTGTACTGCAGCTATTTGGGTCAGATTTTCTCTCTCCTGGTCTGCAAGTTCCTTGAGGACAGAGCTGGAGACTTTTGCATCTTTATAGTCTATCCAAGGCCCAACTCAAATGTGTTGTAAGCAATACCTTATGTCTCCTTTTCGTCTCAGGAGAAGAGCAGCATGGGAGCAGAAGGGATTATGATCCCCTTTATATTTGAGAAAACTGAGGCTCCGAGAGGTTGGTACACCTGCTCAGGGTCCCCGACTGATCCAGGGACGTCAGAAATCTGATAGTCCCCACACTTGGGGCAGGGTCGGGAAGGATGGAGCTTCAGCTCCACCCTAGAGCCGTGAGCCTATACCTTGAAAAAAACCAAACGAGGCATTTTCACACACAAGGACTGGCCTCTGTGCTTTAGCCATTTTGTTTGCACTCTCTTAGCTGATTGACTTAACATCAAGGCTGCATACGTGCATCCATTCATTCATCTAGGTATTAAGCGCTAGTGTGCTTCTGAATGCTACAGTTTGGGGGTGGGGGGGTGGGGGGGGTAGGACATGAAGGAAATAGAACCTTGGAACTCAGAGGAAGGGTTGCTGGCTCCAGCACCTCCCAGCCGTGCGCTCCTGCAAGTGACATAACCCCTCTGTGCTTCACTTTCCCCACCTGTGAAAACCGGGATACCAGAAACTGTCGCACAGAGTTTTAGTGCAAACTAAAGGGATAATGCCTGGAAAAGTGATTAGGTAACGCCAGGACTGGCTACATAATTTAAAGGGCAAAAGGGGCACCCGGGTGGCTCGGTCGGCTAAGTGTCGGTCTTCAGCTCAGGTCATGATCTCACAGTCCGTTTGTTTGAGACCCGCACTGGGCTCTCTGCTGACTGCGCAGAGCCTGGAGCCTGCTTTGGATTCTGTGTCTCCCTCCTCTCTGTTCCTCCCCCGCTCGCGCTCTGTCTCTCTCTCTCTCAAAAATGAACATGAAAAAAAATTATTAAGAGGGCAGTAGCAGCGCCTTAAACCAAACTCAGGGCTCTACTCATCTTTGTGACTGCACCGGTTGTGTGCCTGTGAAGCTGGCCTTGGCTGACACAGTACCTGATGCATGGAGTACTCGATAAATGCTTATTATTAATTCTGTGGTGTTCCCCGCCCCCCCCCAACGAGTCGCAAGATCTATCAGTGGGAAGAGATGCTCAACCTCAAAATAACACACTGAGGACACACTGAGGATGTAATTGGAGTATTTGGTGTCATTCCAGGATCCACCTTAAAAAAAAGAACATTAACAATCCAGATGATGTGAGCTCCTTTCTCGTTGAAGATATTTAAGTGGAATCTGGATGCAAACTGTCAGTTATGGATTAGTTGCCTTTTAGCTTTTTGGTGGCTGTAATAACCATATACACATCATTTCTTCAGTAGAAAGAACGCAGAATTTTTAGTCAGACATTTGTTATCTAGCTAATAATGAAAGCCATTATTGACTGAGGATTTCTTATTTCTCAGACAGTATGCAAAATGCTTCCCATGTATTCTCTCATTGAATCTCCCCAATAGTCTTGGGAGGAAAACAGAACCATTAACCTGGGTTTCACAGGTAAAGAAAACAAGAATCAGAGAGGGCGAGTGACTTTCCCAGCGTCACCAGCTGGTCAGTGGCAGAGGCAGGGCTCAAACCCAACCCTGTGTAGATCCAGGCTCATAAGCCCTAAGCCTTATGCTTTGCCACTGGCCAGCTGGATGATTTTGGTCAGAGTTGTTTTCCCTATTCTGGCTCCTGGCTGTCTCCAAGGGTGGTAAAGTTTGGATAAGGCACACGTTTGTAAAGCCCTAGGTAGGGTAAAGTGTGTGAGACCTCCATCAAAGTGTCCAAAGGCTGTTCTGGGATTTCCCTTCTCTCTCCTTGAGCTAAACTTGGAGCTCTTAACAGTTAACTGGTCTTATCTGTTTTTGGAAGGAAATGTAAAGACCTCAACAGCGCCTACAGTGTTGAGAAAGTAGCAAGTGGCACAGCAAGGAGACTGCCCCAGACTTGAGGTCCTTGCTTCCCCATAAAAGTATCAAGTGTAAGTAAAAGGCACTATGGCAGAAGTGAGCCACTGTCCTCTGATTCTCCCTGATGATTTTACCTGATCAACAGATAAGGAAGGGCAGACCGGGGAGAGCCTCCAAGTGCAACGTCAGGATAAAGACATAAAGAGCGTCACTTGGATTTCTAACCATTGCTCCTGGAGCCTGAGTGTCACATGAAATAGGTAAAGGACTTGACTGACCACAAATGGCCCCACCCTACAATGCCTGCAGCATCCTGGGGACGTTAGAAACCAATGTTCCCATCACTCTCGCTAAGAGCTCAAAATAAGTCAGCTGCTGAACCTCCCCTTGCCTGCTGCGTCTCCGATCTCTAATACGAAAACCACTCCACTGTGGGGTTCTGGTAGCTGCATCTGCCTGGTTGTAAGGCACAAAAGGGCTGACTGCAGAATTTGCATGTCGTCTATAGCTTTCGTCCACCTTTACGTAGGCAGGGAAATTCTACTGATAGTTCGGCCTATTTATGTTGTCCAGTGGTTGTCGGCAATGCCCAGCATGAATCCGGTAGGCCCAAGTGTGATCAGCTGATCAAGTCTTGTCTCTGTGCTGTACCACCGGCTTCAGCACTGTCTTCCTTTGCCCTGAGGCCTGGGAATGGGATGCTGAGAATGGGACTTTTTCACGTGTGCTTTCGTTCCTTCTTCGGAAGAGAGGGCAAAGACGTTTCACGAAACCTGTGCAACCGTGCGGGTTTCTGTCTCCCTCCACCCGTTTTCCACCCTCTGTGAAGTTATAAGGACACTCTCCGTGTCCCTCTTCCCTTCTACTTCTTCCCTCCCCATATCCCCTAGAATCATGCGGACGATAAACGCTGGTGTTTTGGGGGCCCTGGAGAGTGGGGGCTACTTCGAGTCTTTTGGCATCTCCTGGTGAAAAAAGTGTTTCCAATGCGATCTCGTATTTCCTTAGGAATGAAACCTTCACCCTCTCTCTAGGTCTTCTTCATTTCCCATTCCTGAAGGACAGAAAGACAAGACGAGTCAGTTTGCTGAATGTTCTATGTGACTTGCAGGATAAAAACATTCTACGGCACCTAATTATATAAAGATCTCCACGGACCAGATTAGAGAGCCATGGGTCCTAGTCTCACTCTCTCTCTGTAGCCTTGGGTAAGTCATTTCTCCACACTGGGGCTCATCTTCAGGGGGGCCCAAATATCACAAAGTTTGTCTTTCTCAGACAAGGAAACTGAGGCCCATAGAGAGGAGAATGGGGACAACTTTTGACGCTAATGCTGTTCCACCGGACCTTGGTGTGGAGGAGGAGGCTGATGAGAGAGAAACCAAAGCAGTTTGGTAAGGAAGGGTGAAGGCAGGGGGCTCACAGGGCTCCATTCTTTCCCCTGGAGCTGTGTAGGGGTTCATCTTAGAGGGATACTGATGTCTTGGCCAATAGTGATTGGCTTTTTACCCCCTAAATGATGCAAAGGGATTTTCAGCCAGCTCTGGAGGTGATGGTGTGAACCAGGGTTCACAGGG